TCTTTTTTTAAAGAGTAAGATCTAGTAAATACAAGATTTATAGAAGCAATATTTACAGCAAAATGGTACATTGTGACAAAAAAATATATGCACCAGACCATGGTAGTAAGCAAGTTTACAAAAATGTAATGTCAGTTTTTAACAGAAAATTTTGGCATGAAATAACTAACTAAATACAGAAAATGCAAAATTCAAGGACAACAGGAATAATTGATACCCTAATACAGTATAACAAAAATAGAGCCAGTTAGATTACAAAAACAATTACACTACACGTGAGCAAAGCATGGAACACAGGACTTGATAGCTAAGCGATGTGTTGCAATCTCTATTGTTCTTGCTTTAGTTGTGACCTTCACATATGTGATTTTTATTTTTTTGCATTCTACCATACAGCATATGGTACAGCCTAATTTCATCCCACCACCAGAATTACACATATGAAGAAAGGATAGGAGTTTTGGTATTGTGTCTCACCTGGCCACTAGATCCTTAGTACACACCACTATCCTTCTGTCAGGATCCTCACCAATTGAAAATGTCCTCAGCTGATCAAAATTGTCCTGAGCCAGCTGATGTATGAGAAATCTATAAAAACTGTTCACAGGTGGAAACACCAAAACGCTGAAAAATCGACAGAAAACCAAATGTAAACCAAGCGCGCCCCAATGAAACGCAAACGGGGCCTCCAGGGTGACATAATAGTGGGGCTGGAATTACTTTCACTCGTGAACTTGACTGCGCAGGGCCGTTTCCGCTGGTCTGGTTCCATTCCACTCACTGGGCTTGTCATGCCAGCTTTGGTCCACTGGACCGCTCTGAGGAGACCAGACCAGGGAATAACCACTCGTTTCAATTCGGGATGATATCATACCGAGCAGAAACAACAGTCGCCGTTCACCACGAAAGCAAGTCAACACAGCGACCGAGTGACGCAAGGCGAACCCAACCTCCAAACAAACCATAACACTGAGCAGCCTACGACCTTGCAGCCAAGCCCGCGAGGCAACGCGAGTCTCAATTCACCCGTAACTACTTGCCTGTCAAATGGCGAGGATTTGACAAAGAGGCCCAAGTCGGTTTTAACTTTGTCAACAAAATCTGCGTCGCTTTCGGGGTAGCTGAACGCCATGACACACTACCGAGCTATTGTGTTTTTCTTACTCTTGTTTTTTTGCATCAGTGACCCATGACGTCACGGTTACGAAATAACAAACGAAAGTAGGGCGGCCATCTTGGCGGCAACCTACTTGCGATTTAAAATCGCACGCGCTAGTGGTTCGGATTGCCTCAGTCTCGGTCCGCACCCGAATGCTCAGCGGCGCGGTACGCTGGTTGGTGGAACACTCGAGCGAGCCAGCTGGACAATGTATTCGACGAGTGTTCCTCGTAAACCCCCGGGCGCGAGGGCCGTGAGCCGTGATGCAACGGCCGGGCGGGGCGGGGCGGGCAGGGCGGCTGGTCCCGTTCCGTTTGTGCCGCGGCGGCTGCAGCTGCAGCTGCGGAACCATCGTGTGGAACTCGCCGTGCACGACGGGCTCGCGCGTGCGGCGTGCGCGCGTCCTCGGGAGGGAGAGACACGCCTGCCCATATGAGCCTCGGGGGCGCGGCGGCGTTCCACCACAAAGTAATCCTATGCCTGGCTTCGTTTGGATGGTTTTGGGGCGATTTTTCAGCGGTATGGTTTGGCATCCTTTTGGACGTTAAGCTCGCACTAAAATGCGTACACACATTACACAAACACACAGGTAAACAGCACACGCACGCTCACATACACGCACACCACTCCACTGTGTCTCGTCGCACTCGATGCACTGGTATCCCTTCACTGGCGCGGCCCTCCCCCGCGGCCGCGCGCCGAGCACTGCTCCTCCAGAGCCTCCATGGCCTCGGGCTGTGGTCGCGCGCTGATCCCGGTGGCTTGGCGCCGTTCGACTTGGGGGAGTACAACAACAACACACACGTCGGGGCGCGCGTTCGCTACAACAACTAGCACACGACTGGCGGCCATGGAGGTGTTGTGTTGCCTCGCGGTCCCCACTCGCCGGTGGCCTTCCCTCCCCCCCTCCCTCTCCCCCTCCCGCACGGTGCCCCCTCCTCCCCCAGCCTCCAGAGCCCGGGCGGCTGCTGGCTTCCTCCTCCCTTCTCTTCCGCCTTATGCAAGCGCATGCAACTGGAGTGGAGTGGACGGCATTGCCTTGCCGGTGCGCTGCTTGTGCCGGCAGGCTACGGCAGGCGCCCCCACCACGCAGCCCGGCGGAGCCCGGCGAGGCCCGGGCCGGGCCGCTGATGTAACGCCCCGCCACGCCAGGTCAGGCCCCGCCGGGCCCCGGCCCTCTCTTACCTGCCTGGCCTACATTTCGAACAGGCCCGGCCCGTGTGGCCTGGATACCGCTGGACGCGGTCCTCCCGCCCCCGCCGGACCGGGCCCCGCCGCCCGCCGCCCCCACCGCCCCCGCCGGGCGCGACACATTGTTTTGGATACACCAGGTACCGCTGGTCGACTCCACGCTCGGCCTGGAGAGCACGGAGCACGACCTCCATTGGAAACTTGATTTAATGCACTGCCCGATAGGGTTTGTGCTGAGTACGGTGCGGGAGCGGACGATAATCGGCTCCTCTGTCGTAAAATCTCAACGAGCGTCAGTGGAATTATTACGTGTCATGTTGTCACCGAGGAAAAACACAGGAATATTGAGCGAAAATGAAGTACTTTAACTTCAATGAGGGTAAGACGCCAAGTTCACATGATCTCGAATCACTGGCAACTTAACGGAAAGAGATATAATGATAATTTACTTACTGTAATGTGCTTTACGATGAACAGGTTCGAAATGCATACCCTGACCCAGCCTGCAAACTATGTAATCTCTGCAGCTGATGAACGAAGTACTTTCGAGTAGTGTAGTACACACAAATTCTTCCTATAAGCTTAACAACAAAAATAGTTTGCTTACGTGCAAAATTTTTCTTCGGAGGGTTTGCATGAGCTTGCGAAGAAATGCTCGGCAAAACGAAGCAATTCGTCCGAATTCATCGTAATGCAAGGACTGAGAATTGCTCAACGCTGCAATGAATTTGGTTCGTAAGCGTTTTACGCGCAGACTTGTTCTTATATATTTATTTTTTTGACCCGCAACAACCAGGTGGTGATGTCCATCTCGTTCCACTTCCTTCCCCACCTCCTTCCGACTCCCCCCGCACGCACGAGGATAACCGCTACCGGTACACAGGAAGTGGAGTGGATAGTCCACCTTCGGCACGTGAAGTGGCGGCGAATCGCGAGCCGTTGCGCCGAGCCGGCTGTTCTGTGTGGCAGCAGCATCCTGGTCCTCCCCTCCCCCCTCTCACCCCAGCGGTATCGGGATCGAAGCAAAGAATTACCGAAACTTGCCCACATTCCCTGGAACAAAAGACGAATATTATTTAAAACAGTCGGTTTCCGTTCAGGCCATGAAGTTTGGACGGATGAATAGAGATTGTACAAAAAGTGCGTCCCCTTTCCCCAGATTCAATCGGTAAATTACGGGAGCCCCATACGCCTGCGAACCTCGGGGTAGGCCACCGCGCAGCACACACATGCACAGCAGACGAGGTGTTGCGTACCTACAAGGCGCTATGGGAGCTTGAAGATACTGATACTCGGCAGGTTCGGCGAATGACGGACGTACTCTCTAGCTGATCCCACACACCATGATATACTGATTTGGCCTGTCTTCAATCGTGGTCACCTAAACCAAGTGGCTGGTTTCCCACGCCCACTTCCCTGGTCATAATGTACCGCGCATGCAGCAGTTTGTCTATAGTCTATAGTCACTGACCAGACACCGGTGCCTCGAGGCTCGGACGAGCGAGGGGCAACGGGCAACCTGCCCTTCCCTATGCGACAGATCTCTTCTACTGTAAAGCTGCCCCCACGATGAAATGGGCAGACACAACAGTGTGGCGGGTTTGCTCGACTCGCTGGAGCCGCAGGCGCTACGACGACTTACGGGCCAAGGGAGTTAGGCAAACCCTCAAACCTGCGGCGTACTCTCTGGAATAACACCCAGAACAAGGAACATTGGGGTGTCACACGTTCTCTTGTCTGAAGTCCCCGCACTTGGGCGCTATCTGGCGGGTGGGCCGCCGTCTTCACACAACTGCCTGGCGGGTCAGCCTACCCAGCGCGTGCCAGGCGCTATGATTAACGTCAGCTTCGCCTCACACCCACGGAGAGAAAAGTTCGGGTCATACACCCAAAAGTTTGGATAAATTTGACCGAAAAGTCACCATCCAAAATTTTTCAGGCGTGGTCACCAATTATTCTGGTGTTGAGTCTAATGTATACTGGTGCACAGTGTATAGGTTTCAGCCTGTAGCCGAAACTGATTAGATGTGCTGTTGACAAGAACAATCCAAACTCCGTTTTGCTGTCTGCATTGAACTTTTCTCTCCGTGCACGAGTCTTCGAGCCCGCGGCGCCCGCGGACGGCCAGACAGATCATAGGACGGCGCGATTCAGTCACCTCAAGTCAGAGCCGCGGCGCCGCGGCGCGGGATGAAGCCCTACCATTGCTACAAGAAGACGCACTCAGCGGGAGATTGAAATGACTGTACACGTGGCGACACGCTGCGATGACGGGAGTTGGTCCTCCCATGGACCACCTATTCGATGCAGTGGGCTAGTCACCGACATGTCCGTCAACGAGTTAGCTGCTCGGAGCAGAGGCGAGGTGAGGAGAGGCTGGCCGGCGCACCGGGCGTTTCAGAACGGACACGCACGCAGTGTCGTGTGGGTGGGCTTAGTCTCTTCAGCCGTAAGGCACCATAGCCCCTGCGCCTCCAGCGAGGATGCAATCCCGCAACACTGTAGCGTCCGCTCTGCTCAAACTCTCGGTACGTGCTCGAGCCGGCCCGAGACCCGAGGCGCGTAGAACATTCCAACATTCTAAAGCGTTCCCCCGAATGCCCTCACCCTCAGTTATAGTTGACGCTCTTCCGGCTGGCGCCCTCACTAACCGCCGATCGAAGGGGCGGGCCCCCGGCGGGCAGCACGGCGACCGCCCGCCATCCCGGCCCGGTCCTGCGTTGGCGGTTTCGGCCCCGGGTTGCTCTCGGCCCGCCCAGCCAGCTCAGCCCTTAGCCAGCCCTTTCCTTGCGACCGCTGCGGCGCCGGTGGGCCGGGCGCCCCCGCCCAGATTCACGGCCATTCCCACGGCCGGACCGGCGTTCGTGTCTCCTTGCCATCTCCCGCCCTGAAGGTCACGGGACCAGGGCGGGACGGACGTCTCCTTCGTCATTTCTCCCACATTTCTCCCGCCAGCGACAGACGGAAAGCCCCAGCCTTTCGAAACAACAGACGGTCGTTGTGCCGCCCCCGCCGCGAGTGTCCCAACAGCCGGCCTGTGCCGGACGGGGACGGCCGAGGACGACGACGGGATTGGAGGGGGG